TATATATTTAATTTATTATTACTTTTGTCAATTTCAACTTATTTCTGTGACAGCTGTTATGAAGACATTTGAGGACGACGATGCCGATTATTGGTGCTCAAGAAAGGCCGATATTTTTGGGCCTGTAATGTTTTAACAGCATGTAACAGCACAGGACCTGTGCTATTCAGAACTGGCCTTATTCATGAATAACGAATATTAAATTAGGGCGCTCTCCATTGTTTGTATGGATTCCACTGATATTGATCAGTTCATCTGCTGTTCTTCTCTAGTTTCTCAATCTGTCAGTGTTCTATCACTTTAGTCGTCGACACAGGTCCATATCTTAAAGCATGATTAATGATCGTTTCCCAGCCTCTGTTCCAGGGTAGTCTGTTGCTGCCTTCTGACTTAGCTGCTACCCGTTAGCGTAGCCTTAGCGTTAGAGTAGCCTCTGTCCTGGTTTTTGGCAACAGCTTGGGTTTCTGCTTCAGTTTTCGCAATCTCTGCTTGAGAGACATTTCCGAGACGACAGACAGAGGAGATCTGAAGTAGCACATTTAATTGATCAATGATCAGCCAAAACATTACAGATACTGACAATCGGGCCATGGTCATCGGTCTATCCCCACTGTTGTACCTTAAAGACCTTATTTACGATCACTCAAACTCAAAGTTTTCAGGTGGTCTCCAGATGTAAAGTGAAAGGCTCTTCTGTTGTGGATTCAGCTCCCAGATTGGGTTCAGGAGGAAGACACTGTTTCTGCTCTCAGGATCCGGCTCTCCTCTTTGATAAAGCTTGTAGTCAGAGCTGGTCACTTGACTCATCCATAGGTCATGCTGCTACAGGTCCTGACAAGTAAGGGGCTTACCTTCCTCCTCTTTCTCTCTGTACACTCAGGAGGGTGCTTGAAAAACTTCTTGGCCTCACCCAGAAACAAGGGGCGGAACTCCCACTTCAGAGCACAACTGATTCGTATACAGCTTTACATCACAGACCACAAAACCAAGCGCCGAGCTGTGCCAGTCCACAGCTCAGGTGGTAGAAGCAGCCAAATGTGGCTTTAAGCTATTGCCCCATACACCTGACTCATACTAGCTGCACCATCTGACTGTTACTCAAGCTGAAATCCCACATGCATGACTGCCATTTTCAAACAAATGATGAAGTCATTTTTTATTCTAAGTCATACATGCTGTTGAGGTGTAACAGGAAGCTGCAGATGTGACCTTATTCTGTGAAGGGAAGCTTGAACTGCAAGTGCATTGAAGTTAAAGTTAAAGAATGATGCAATCTTTCTCCTGGGGTGTTTTCTGGTGATGCTGAGAACTTTCCGCAGTACTCTCATGTACACCACTACTGCATGACACTAAGTCCGTGTCCTCTCTCTTGGAGTTTTGTCCTCCTTGCAGGTGTCTCTGGATCTGGAGCTACATGCTACTGATCTGCAGTCACTGGCCTCACCAACCTCCAGAGTGTTTATTATTCTCTGATGCATGAGCCTCACCTCAGCTGGTGGATGGCTGCCCCATCGGACCTGGTTCTGCCGGAGGTTTTCGATGTTCTTCCAGTTAAAGGAGAGTTTTTGTTTGCTTGTTTTTTTTCCCTCCTAATTGTTACCAAGTGCGTGCTCAAACCGTTGCTTGCTACCAACAATAAATAGAAAATTAAGCAATATGCAGCAGTGACTTTGAATTATGACGACTTCAATTAAATTTTAAAAGGTTTGGGACCCTGAAAGAAATTGTCCCTCGGTTGCAACGCACTTTGCCTTTTTTGTAATCTAGCCTTGAGGACCAATATCCAGCACTGAATGATATCATTGCACAGTAGAAAGAGGGATATTTCACAGGGTATTTCTGTTTTTGTGTTGTATTGATGTACCCTGTTTTCTATCTGGGCTGAATGTGTGCACCCAACTGCTGCATGACCAGTTGCCCCGCTGGGGGCAAAGAAAGTTGACTGATTGATAAATGAGAGGGGCTGATCAGTAGCATTTTACCACACAGTACAAGATTAATTCTGTAAACAAGAGCTATCTACTGAGTAATTAGCAATCAGGTGACGGGGTTTAAACCTCAAGAAAAACAAAATGTTTATGTTTCATTGGTTGTCATTAAAATAGGACCATCTTATTTTATAGATGTTACCAAATTTTTCATTACAAGCCAAGCTTTTTCCCATATCTTTTGTCTTTCTTTTTAAAAATTACTATTATTGCATAGCCCTCTTTAACATTGTTGTATCCATAGATGTTACCCATAAGGAAAAAAGAGTGATTGTGAGTGAAACCACGAGAATGAAGCGTCCAAAGGGGTCAGTTTCAGTGGAGATGATGTGACTGTTAAACTTGTGTTTCAGAGTCAACGTAGGTTTGTTGGTGATAACTGTCATTACAATTGGCTGTCAATCTATTACAAATTAGTAGTTACACCAAAAGAGTTAAACAGTGAAGCCAGATAACAAAGACAT